TCGGCGTCAGTCCGAATTTCTTCGCGACAGTGCCTGCGTACTTTCCAGCGTGTAGGTAGAACGCCGAGTTGTCTTCGACGACATTTAGTCCCAAGTACTGGGTCACTGAGTCGGACACCGTGAGCGTCAGGTCCCCTTTCAGCTCCCCTTCGAACCAGGTGACGATGTCGGTGGTAGAACCGATGTAGAGCAGGTCGTCGACGTAGACTATGAGCAGAATGTAATCTCTTCCCTTCTGCAGTCGGTACATGCCTTGGTCATGTGGTAACTGTAGGAATCCGATTTTTACGAGCCGGCCGTGAAGGTGCGGCTGCCAGAGCTGTGGGGCTTGCTTGATCCCGTAAAGGGATTTTTCCAGCTGGCATACTTTTGAAGGGTCGTCGATGAATCCGTGGGGTTGTTCGACGAAGATTTCGGCGTCCACAGGTGCGTACAAGAAGGCGTTTGCGACGTCGATTTGCCATAGTGGTAGTTTCTTCGTGGCCGCGACGGCGAGTAGGATGCGCAGGGAGGTGTGACGGGAGACTGGGGCGAAGGTCTCTGTGTAGTCGGTTCCGTATCGTTGGTCGAAGCCTCGTACGACCCATCGCGCTTTAAAACGTTCGATGGAGCCGTCCGCGTTGGTCTTAATGTGGTACACCCATTTCCCCGAGAGAATGTTCCTCCCGTTGGTGTTGGTTGTCGGTACTAACTTCCATGTATTCCGGTCTTGGAGGGCTTTTAGCTCTTTTTCCATTGCTTCCTTCCATTCCGCCTTATGTTCCCCCCCCAGAGCCTGCGACAGGGTCGATGGCTCGCGCGGAGAAGGCGGCGGCGGGTGCTGGACGGAGACCCATAGTCCTAGGATCTGCAGTCCCGTGGCTGTGTGTCGAGGGGAATTTTCATTCCCGGGATAAGCTGCTTCATCACCGTCTTCAGGATCGGGTAAGAAGTTTGGCCCGATGCGTTCGGAAATATTCGAGTCGACGGGGTGTGGTGTAGCGTAGCCTTGGTCAGCGAAGTGGTAAAAGGTGTCGAGGTTGTTGCTATCGAGGGGATTATCTTCATCGAGTGGAACAGGTACGGAGCAGTAGGGGAGTGGTCCGGCAGCCTCCGAGGCTCCAGGGACGTCTTCTTCTGCTGCGTCAGCCTCGGCAGCATGGTCAGCGAAGGAGCGAAGGCCCGCGAAGCCGTCGGTGGGGTCGTCTGAGTTGGCAATGTTGTCCAGGTAATGCTGCAGCGTCAGTCGCTCGTAGAAGATAACATCACGTGATGCCACCGTATTTTTGTCTTGTATGTCGAGAATCTTCCACGCGTGAAAATGTTTGGCGATGCCGAGGTGTAGTCCCCACCGAGCTCGTTGAGTGAAGCGTCCTGCTCGAGCTGTGTGGGGTCTGTATTGTACCATGCAGCCGAAAACTCGATGTAATTTTGTGCTGCCCCTTTTTCCCGTCCACAGCAGGTGTGGTGATGCGTTGTTGGGGAGCGATGACGAGGACAACAGGTTGTGCAGGTGGACTGCATGTGTCATCGCGTCTGGCCACAGTGTGTTGGGCAGTTTCATTCCCAGGAGCAGCTTTCGTATTGTCGTCTGCAAGGTCCGGTTCATGCGTTCTGCGACCCCCTGCTGCTGGTGAGCGTATGGTAGGGACACCAGGCGCCTGATTCCTCTTTCCGCCAGATAGGTCCTGAAGCGTTGTGACTGGTATTCCAGTGCGCCGTCTGACTGGAAACTTTTTAGCTTGGTTCCTGATTCCCGTTCGGCGATGGGGAGCCATGTTGTGAAGGCGTCGAAGGCTTGATCGCGCGTCTTGAGGTTGTAATGCCAAGTGTATCTTGTTGCTGCATCGACGAAGGTGATGACGTAGTTGAAGTCGGCTTCCGTGTCGTCTCGAGGCATGTTCAAGATGTCGCTGTAGACTTTTTCCATCGTTGCATATGCAGGCGCGCTTGGATTATGATGTGATGGGAAGGGTTGATGAGGAAGATCTGCTTCGGGGCACGTGAAGCACCGTGCGCGAGGTCGTCGAAGTTCTTGGCCGTTCGTTGTTAGGAGGGCGTTGCGTTCTAACACTTCGGCTTGGATGGTTTGTAGTGTTGTACTATTTGCAGGGTGCCCGAGGCGTTGGTGCCAGATGTCGTCGGGAGCGCGATGGCCGGGTGAGCGGTGGTATATGTCGGCGTTGGAGAAGAATGCGACGACTGTGGCGGGACTTCGACAGACTTCTCGTGTGATGGGCATAAGTTGATCTGCTTCGGTTGGCGGTCCTCGGACTGCGGTGGTGGTACTCGGCTTGGTCCTGCTGCTGCTACTGCAGGTGATGGTTGGGACTGGACGCTTGTTGGTACTTGCCGTTCTTGTCTGATAACTGCTAATGCTCGTGTTCTTTCTGCTGCAGGTATGGTGTTGGAGTGCCAGAAGCCGTCACTGTCGAAGTCAGGGATCAAGATCCGGCGGTGTGTCCAGGCGGCGAACGATACGATACCGTCGCTGTCGGCAGTACCGCGGTCGGGGACAAAGTCCAACACGAAGACACCGGACTTCAGGAGGCACGACCTATGAAGAGGCCGCCCTTCCCGTGGTAAAGCCGGAACTCGTTGGAGAAGGAGTCGCACTCCAGGTGAATCCCCTTGGCCATTAGTTGGCTTACGCTTAGTAGGTTGTATCCCAAGTTGTCGACGATGAGTACTTTGTTGAGCTGAAGTATTACGTTTGTCTCCATGGATTGTAACTGAACCACGCCTTGTCTGTTTGTCTTCAGGTTTCGTTGTTGGCGACGGTGATGACGACGTCGCGGTTGAGCCGTTTCTCCTGTTGCACGAAGCGTCCGAGGAGCACATGTGTTGACCGCAGCAGCTGTCCAGGAACCAGGTGTTTCGTCCGGTTGGTTCGGCGTTGGCGACCGCAGCGTACGTCGGATTGACTTGAAGTCCTTGTGAGCGTGGTGGCGGGAGCTCTTCTTCGTCTGGCGCGTAAGTGGGTGGTGAGCGGGTGCACAGTTGTCGATGTGTACCATGCAATTGATAATGTTTGGTGTCTTTGTGCAGATGTTGAAGAGCGTCTTGGGGGACTTGCTTGGGTTGAAGCAACTTGTGGGTCTGCTGGACGGTAAACGCGAGGGCGGTTGCAGTTGACCTTGGAGTGCCGGAAGTCTGACAGTTGTGGCAGAACGGCGGCACAAAGGTAGTCCCTCTGTTGTCGCGCTCTTGCTTGCTGCGTCGATTGTAGGTGTTGTCGTTTCTTCGTTGAGTGTAGAAGACTAACTGCTGCTGCTTCCTTGGTTGTCTTTCTTCGAACAGGTCCATCTCCTGTTGTTCAGCGTGAAGCTCGGCGCCAGAGGTGCATCTCCGAAATTCTTCCTGGGCGCGAAGAAGTGATCGTGTGGTTCTCCATTCTGGCCCGAGCCCGGCGAGGACAAGTGTCACGAAGCTTTCTTCAGTGATTGTTCCTCCGCACCGAAGCAGGCGGTCGCGGAGAGTCTGGCATCGACTCATATATTGCATTGCCTTTTCCCCGGTCTTCATCTGTATTGTTGTCAGTTGTTGCATGAGTCTGCTTTGCGTCACGCTGTCGTTTGCTTGATAAAGGCACTTGAGATGATGCCATGCGAGTTCCGCGGAGTTCCCATAACTCCGATATGTTCTGATGCTCTGCTGTTCTTGTGGTGACAGGTTCCGCAGGAGACTGTATACGCCAGCAGCGACTGATACGTGAAGATCTCTTGCTCCTGTCCAGTGCCGTTGCTTGGAAATGGCAGGGACCCGTTGAAGTATCCCAGAAGATGCGCGGCCTCCATCAGCAGCTCGAACTCGAAGCTCCAGGTAAAGAAGTCGTGTCCGTTGAACGGTGAGGATGTCTGTAATTGATCACGTGTGAGAACTGCGCCTGAGACTTAAGATCTCGTTTGGTGTTTGTTGTGATGCAGCTGCTGTTGGTTGGGCGGGGCGGCATGAACTCGAACGTCCCCGGTGAAGAATGATAAGGCGCAAAGGTAGGCGCTTGTTGTGTCGCCCGAAGGATGAGTTGTCGAGGCTCATCGGCGCTAATCCCATGTTTCCTCCATTGCTCTGTGTTGAATGCGCAGGTGTCCTTGTCTGCTGCTGCTGGTCGAAGTGCGACATGAAGCTGAAGAATTTCCATAAGGTTCGGGTCCACGCTTGAAGAGGGAGATGGAGTCACCATCTCTGGTACTCTTCCCGTTGTTTCTTGAGCAGTCCCGGTCTCTGTCTGCAGTCCTGAGGTGTGCAGACCAGAGTTGCCGTGTTGAGTTTCTTGGCGCTGGGTGAGCCCGTAGAGACTTTCTTGCCCTTGCTGTCCATGTCTTGTAATCAATGAAGTCGTTGAATTGAGTTGAGTTGCAGGTTGTGATAGACGTAGTTGCTGGGAGTTTGGTCTCTGACCAGCTCTCATACCATGTTGGGCTGAGAAAAGCCCTTAGGATCTTTGCAGAGACTAAGTCCCAGCTGTAAGACTTGAGACTTGGAGTAGTGCAGCGGAAGTTGAGCAGTTGAACCCTTGTACTAGTATGTGAGAACAAGTGTGATTAAAAAAACAAGCATACAGCAATATATAGAAGATAAGAAAGCAGTTGTAGAGTACAGTTAGCGGTTTATCGAGTCGCACAGCGACTCGATTGCCGCTTCGGTTACCATCCGTGCTGTTGTAACGGTCAGTCGCAACCTCCAGTTGCGACCTTTCGAGTCCTTCGTGTTCTTTGTCCGCCCCCTCGTGTAACCTCCGTTGACTCGCGTACCCCTTGCAATCTTCCTCGAGTGTAGTGTTACACTTCAGAAACGCTTAAGTCTTTTGATGTACTTTCAACAACCTTGTTGGGAAACACCCCAATTTAACAGACCTTGACTGTTGGCACCTCCAGAAACTAGTCCAGCAGGGGTTCTACCAATGCTGTGTGAGTTTCACGAACAGCGGACTGGCTCTCCCTAGGCTTGCACGTGCACCGACATGTTGAAAGGGGGTTTCCTCCTCTGTTGAAACAGCACAATGACAGGAAGGGTGCCCAAAATATACTTCTGTTCTGACACTGTTATTATTTGATGGAGCATTATGGTAGTGACTAGCCTGAACAACATCCCATGTAATGCGACAATGAAAAGACAATCTAACAACCTGGCCCATAACCAGAACCCAATCTCCCACCATGCAACATACTAACAAGTTATGTAGTAACCAGACAACCAAACAACCTATCCCTACCACCCATACCATGATTTGGTGCTTCTACCATACTCCACTTCACTTCACACTTCTAACCAGTGTTGTAGCAAGAGCAGCAACACAAACAGCACCACCACAGCACCACCAACGCACCAGCAGCAGAAACACGAGCCGCACAACACACCCCGCCCCAGCCACCTTCCCTCCTCCCTCTCACAGCCCCCTGCTGCCACCACCCCCACCCCCCAGCCCAACAGCCGCAGCAGCAGAAGAAGCCGCAGCAGCAGCGGAAGAAAGCGCATGGCCCGACACAGGTCGCTCCGCCATCTGACTCACCCTCGCACTGCGCTGCACCGCCTGCACTTTCAACGCCGTCGCCCGCTGGAAAAACTGCTCCTTTGCCAGGTCCTCACGTGCCGTAGATACGCATCGACGGTCAGGATTCGGCGGCGGGAGTTGGCAGAGGAGGGATCGTACTCATCGTGACCCCGCTCCTCTTGGAGAGCGCGGTCTAGGGAGTAGAGAACGTCTTCTATGGCGAGGTCTGCTGCTGTGTGCTTTAGGAGCTGTGCAGAGAGAGCGTCACACGGCTGGAATGCTGAATCGATGTCGGGGAGTGGGGGAGAGGAGGAGGTGGTTGTGCTGCTGCTAATGGTGATGGCGGTTAATCTTGTGGTGGTGGTTGTGGAGGTGGTGGTGGCAGGAGGTGCGGCGTTTTGGGCTAGCCATGACTCGATCACGTCGGCATTGGTTTGCTGGACCTGCACCCGATGGGCAGCATGGATCCAGGCATGCACATGGCCACATAAACACCATGCACCATGCACCATGCACCATGCACCATGCACCATGCACCATGCACCATGCACCATACACCATGCACCATGCACCATACACTATGCACCATGCACCATGCACCATGCCCCATACACCACGCACCATGCCCAATGCACCATGCCCCATGCACCATGCCCCATGCACCACGCCCCATGCACCATGCCCCATGCACCATGCACCAGGCACCAGGCACCAGGCACCAGGCACCACGTGCCACGCGCCACGCGCCACGCGCCACGCGCCATGCCCCATGCCCCATGCCCCATGCCCCATGCCCCATGCCCCATGCCCCATGCCCCATGCACCACGCACCACGCCCCACGCACCGCGCACCATGGCACCATGCACCAGATCCCATCAAAAAGAGCAACAGGTGGTGGCGTGGGGGGAATGGGAAAAGCAGACAAAAAGGTGGGGTGAGAGAGTGAGAGAGCATAGACCCCCCCCCCCCCCCCCCCCTTCACACCCAGCTGGCTCAACCCCGCCCATGTATGTTTGCCCATCAATCCCCAGCCTCACCTGGACCTACTCTTCCAGGCCTTGCTTCTCCCCCTCTCTCTCACCTTTCCAGGGCTCCCTCACCACCTCCCAGACAAAAGGACCCCCACACACCACGCCATCCCCTCCTCGCGTCAACATGCACTTCTCACACAAATTTGGGCTCTTTTGAGTCGGCTTAAAAGTCACCTCCTTGCAACGCAACAGCAACCAGTTTTCCCCCCGGCAAACAACCGCACACACCAGTTCGCACACAACAGACACCAGTTTCCCCCCCGAATCTCTCACCTGCAGCGCCTCTTCCAGCGCCTGTTTTTCCCTTGCGAGCTCCCTGACCACGGCGCTGGCCTGCTCCTTGCGCGCGGCCAGCATCTGCTGCAGCCCCAGCTGCTCCTCCATCACCCGGTTTGCCGCCTGCCAGCTCTCGCCCACGTCCGCGTTCAGCTGCAGCGACAGCGACGCTATCGCCGCCTTCTTAAACACAACCTTCGCCTCCTCGCCCTTGGCCTGCCCGGTCTCCCCTCTCGCTCCTGCTGCCGCTGCCCCTGCTGCTCCTGTTCCCTGGCCGACGCGCTTCTTCCTGCTACACCTCCGCGGCCCCTGCGCCCCCTGCTGTCGACGCTCCACCTGCCGCTCCTGCCGCTCCAGCTGCACCCGTGACAGGGCCTGCACCCGGTCGAGGCAAAGCGCCTTTAAAATGCCCGTACTGTTGCTGCTGCTGCCCGTACATAGCCACCTCTCCTGCCACCACTCCCCTCCCCCTCCCCCACCACCACCACTGCCGCTGCTGCTGATTGCTCTCTCTCTGCCGCCTGATCCTGTCGCCGCAATACGGCCCCTGTCTGAACCCGACGAAGGTGGGCCGTGCATGTGCATGGGGTTTGTGCCCTGGAACGCCGAGGACGGGATAAGGGCGGGGGTGCAACACCGCCAGAGAATGCCTGCGGAGGAGGCGACATCTGCTGCTGCTGCTGCTGGTGTTGGGGGTGCTGTTGCTGCTGCTGCTGCTGTGCGCGGACTTCCCCGCGCCTCCCCCCCCTGCTCCGCCAGCGCCGCCGGCTCGCGCACCTGGTGGCCGCGCTTGCGCCGCGGCGGCGGATTGCGCGGGCGAGCGGGAGTAGAGCGGCGGTTCTTGGCCAAACATAACCGACAGGACCTGTAGCAGATCGACTAAGGTCGAGCGCTGGTACACCCACTCGCGAGAGAAACGGCACGTCGACCAGCCCCGAGGCGTTCACGTGCGAGTGATTAGGCCGGATGATCATATCCCGCGTGGCGTGACATAAACGAGGGGAGCGGCGCGCGGAAACTGCTCTAGCAGCCACATGGTGACGGGGATGTTGTACTTTATCTCCTTGTACCACATGGGTATGGTGCCCTCCAGCTGTAGCAGCTGCACCTGCCGCCCGTCGTTGTGCGTAAACGTGGCGGGACGGACCTGGGAGGGGGGAGGGGGAGCAGGGGGGGGCGGGGAGGAGGGAGGAGGAGGAGGGGGAAAGGGTGCAAGAGTTGAAAGCCTCGCCATCGCCGTTTTTATCGCCCCGACCAGCGTACTAACGACAGGGCTAGAGCAGATGAACCTTGAAAGGGAAGGTAGCGTCTGCACCATCGGCTGCCGATACGAGTGACGGAGCCACGGCGGATCCGGGATTATGAAAGGTTAACTAAAATAAAACTAAGAGCGATGCCGCGGGCCGGGTCGGACGACGTGAGGATACCAAGGGAAACGAACAGAAACCGCGTCATAAAAAATGCATGATTGACCTTACCGAGTCGACTAAAAAACAACGAACCGCAGAACGAACGAAGCTGTTACTAATGTGGATGCACCCACATGCCGCGTGTATAAGAGCTGGCAGGTAAGCAAGACAAACGGACGAAACAAGGACGAAACAAGGACGAAACACGGACGAACCTGCAGGCCCGAGAAGGTCTGAATAGTGAACGCGAGCTGCTCGCGAATGAGCCACTTGTCGCCCTCGTTATAAGGCAAAGCCCCGGACCTCGCTGCTCCAAGATGCCGTTAAGGAACTGCCGCGTGCTGGCCTGAGGTCCACCTGAGGGCTGCTGCGGCTGCTGTTGCTGCTGCTGCTGCTGCTGCTGCTGCTGTGAGTAATAGTGGGAAGGGTTGTACGCAGATCCCATGGCTAGAAGTCTGTCTGGATCTACGGCTGGAATCCACTAGGAACGGCTGAGATCGACTGGGGACGGCTAGGATTGACTAGGGACGGCGGAACCGCTAGGAAGTCTAAGAACGACAGGCTAGGGCCAGTAGAAACACCTAGAATCTCGATCGGCGATAGCATCTAACTGAAGGCGCTGGCGATGGAGAAATTTCTGGTAAGGAAAGAGAGGAGACGGATTGTTTCCAATCGGACGGTGATCGTTTAAAGCAGCTAAATCAACAGTGAATCTGAAAAAAGCACATAAGCTTGACGGGGTCGAAGGACAAAGGAATTAGCAGCAGAGACGCGAAAGACTAGACATTAAAAGGATTCGGGCTCTGTAGGAGTAGCACCACGCGGATATCGCCTCAGAACCGGACGAGTACGAGTAGGCTCCATGATAAAATCAAAGGGACGAAATCTACCGCTGCAAGCAGCTAACAAGCAAGATCGAGCCCTATCAGCTGATCACGGAACGCTGGCATGGCTATCGATCTACTAGATGGACTGGCTGCGCGGTTGAGTGGAGTGGTCGAGGTGGAGGAGAGAGACAGAGCAGCACCAGCAGCAACTCTTCTGCAGAACCCCTAATGTACAGAAATGCATGATAGGTCTAGACTGACTGACTCCAGCACACGCCCGAAAATGACCATTGATTCTCCTCCTCCACTTCCGGCCTGGGAGCCACTCACACACGCAACCCTCGCCCACGGGATTATACTATCAACATTCGCTTGTGTCACAGAACAAAGTCCCTTGAAGGTTTTGAACAGCTCGTTATAGGCAATCGTGTGTGTTATAAATTAATCAGAGTAATAACAGGTAGTGTAATAAAAGAGTCGTGATTCAAGAGTTGTCAATACAAATGAGGACCTAGGCATTTATAGGCACAACAGGGCTAGCCGAGAACCTCGCAAACAGGTTAGGGCAATTCGGCTGGCGAAAGCCACGGAGGTGCCGTGCATTAGGTTTGGGTTTACGAAATGGTTCGGGACCGAGGAAAATGGCCGGGCCTGGTCTTCCGAGGGTCGAGGGCGTATGCGCTGTAGTTGAGCCAGTAAGGAAAAGGAATTTTCCTTACACCACCCCCCTTCCGGGATGAGACTACCCACATCCGGGACACGTCTTCTGTGTAAATAATCTCTGACAACTTTGTGTTCACCGAGCATAGCTGCGGGACCCAGAGGTCGTCATCAGTCGTGCGATCGACCCATCGTACAAGGAAATCAACGGCTGCTGTATCGCGAGAACCTCGTACGCGATGAGCGAGAATTTTCTATGGCTCGATCGTCGGTTCAGGTACTGGGTTGACCGTAGGATTGATATGTTGACGGTCGAGATCAGTTGTATTCGGGACGAACGGTCGCAGGAGACTGATGTGGAATGAATCGTGAATGCGCCAGTCGACCGGTAGTTGCAGCTGGCGGTGACGGGAGTCACCATGCGGATTATGCGGAATGGGCCGCAAAATCTTGGTGTAGTTTATTTGGGAGGGGCATCCCCAAATTTCGAGTGTCGAGCAGGACCAATTGCCCAGGGGCAAGGTTTAAGTCATGGCATCGTCGTCGGTCAGCTTGCTGCTTAGCCCATTGGTTGGCTTTGAAATGGCATCGGCGGCTTTTTGCTGAGACTGTCGGAGGTTTCGACGAACTGCTGCGATCTGGTGCCGGATTTTCGATCGGTGGCGATAGAGGGGTTGTCGGGTCTATCCCGTAATTAAGGAAGAACGGGGACTGAGTAGTCGTGGCTGATGGGGCGTTGTTGTACACAAACTCGATCAGTAGAAGAGAATCTTCCCACTGGGCCGGGTCTGTGCACGTTGTACGAATCAACTGCTCCATCGTCTGATTGGTGCGCTCAGTCTGGCGTCCGATGCAGAGGTGTGCCGTACTGCTGCCAGGCTTTTGTCCAGAAATTGGACGTGAACCGAGGGTCGCGATCGCTGATGATTGCCGAAGGGATGCCGTGTAACCGCACGATGTTCGTGAGAAACAGCTTCGCTGTCTGCTCGGCAGTGATTGTCGTCTTGCAGGCGGCGAAGTGTGCCATTTTGGTCAAACGGCCAACGACGACGAGAATCGCGTCATTACCGCTTGGACCAGCAGCAGGCCAGTGACGAAATCCATCGTCACTTGTTGCCAGGGTCGGCTGGGTGGCTCGAGTGGCTGCAGTAATCCCGCATCGAAGTCGTGACGACTTCATGCGTTGACACGTGGCGCAGGAGGTGACGTACTGCTGCACGTCCGTCGGCAAATCGGGCCAGTAATAATTACGGCTCAGTAATTTGGCAGTTTTGTCGATGCCGTAGTGACCCGAGAAATTCGAGTATGTGCCTCCTGTATCAGTAGCTCGCGTAGGGTACGGTAAGCGGGACCCAAATCCGATTGGTACCGGATTTTAGGTAATAAGCCCCCTGCTTGACTGTCAGTTGGGGATGACTGTTAGTCGTGAAGAATGGGTCGGTACTGTATCCGTGGGTAAATAGTCCAGTTAGCAGCGAATTGGTTTGGGTGATTAGGACAGCGGCGGTATGTACTGAAGGGCGGGTCAGTGCGTCGGCGATGTTGCTGGCCCCTCGTTTGTAGGTGACTCTGTAGTGGAAATTCGACTCGAGATAATCGAGCCAGCGAATCTGTCGGGGTTGAGTGTCGGTTGGGCGCGGATGAACTGTAGCGATTTGTGGTCTGTTCGGACTGTCACGTCAGCGCCCGTCAGGTAGCAGCGCCAAACCTTGAACGCGTGAACGATGGCGAGTAACTCCTTGTCGTGGACGGGATAATTTCGCTCGGCCGGATTCAGCTTTCGTGACTCGTAGGCGATGGGTTGAAGGCCTTCGCCGAAACCTGTAACAGTACTGCGCCAACAGCCAGGTCGCTAGCGTCGGTGATGAGTTCGAACGGACGGTGAGGATCTGCAATGCGAAGAACCGGAGGTGTTGTCAGGAAAAGTTTGAGTTGGTCGAACGCAGCCTGCTGCTCTCCCCCCCACTCATAAAACTTGCCTTTCTTCAGAAGATCCGTGAGAGGGGAAGTTACCCCCGCCATGTTCGGATGAATCGGCGAACGTAATTCACAAACCCCAGGAAACTTTGAAGTTCGCGGAGATTAGCCGGCGGCTTCCAGTCTTGTATGGTCGCGATTTTTTCGGGTCGATTTTAACACCGTCGATGGAAATAACGTGTCCCAAAAACTCCAGTTCTTGTTTCATAAACTCGCACTTAGAACCCTTGGTGATGAGTCGATGCTGCTGCAGGAGAGGAAGACTGCTTCCAAATCCTTCAAATGTGCTTCCCGGTAGTGTTGTATATCAGGATGTCGTCGAGGTACACAATGACGCATTTATCCAGCAGCGGCCGAAAAACTTCGTTCATGGTTAACTGGAATGTTGAAGGCGCGTTGGTTAAGCCAAAAGGCATGACCGTGTACTCGTAACTCCCGTATCGGGTTCGGAACGCCGTCTTGTAGCAGTCAGCTTCGTTGACACGGATCTGGTGGTAACCGCCTCGCAGGTCAATTTTCGAAAAGAACTTTGCCCCACGAAGTTGGTCGATGAGTTCGTCGGCACGCGGAATAGGATAGCGAGACTTGATGGTAACCCGGTTCAAGGCGCGGTAGTCAATGCACATTCGTAGACCGCCATCTTTCTTCGGGGTGAACAGTATCGGAGCTGCGAACGGTGAAGTACTGGGCGGACGAAACCTTTCTCGAGCATGGTCATCCAGCTATGGCTGAGTCAGCCTCCACTGTGTCCGAACCGTCGGTTGCGCGCCGGGCTCCACTGGATTTTATGGTCGTGGTCTCGCTCGGGTGGCAATCCTGGCGGTAGGTCGTGGAAAATGTCGGCATGCTTGCGATCAATGTCGCCAAGTCGTGGGACTGCCGCGCAGAGTTTGTCGATGTCGGCCGGTGCGCTGACAGCCGTGGATGCGATCCATCTGACGGCGTACAGTTGTGCCCCGCGAATCATCGCTCGCTTGATGGTAACCGCGCTGACTGTCGCAGAATCGGATTGTTCCACTTCGGAAGTCTTCGCCACTCGCCACTCCATTTGATTCGACAGTCACCCGTCCGCCAATCGATGCTCGGGTTGTACTCGCGCAGCCAATCGCGTCCCAGCAGCATGTCGCAGCCGTCCAACGTTGTCGCCAGCATCTTCGTCGTAAAGCTGAAATTTTCGCCGCATGTAACTCGCACGTGAGGTACTCCCTCCCGAATTGCCAGGGTGTGCCATCGACCAATCGCGCGTCGATTTCGGGCAGACACCGCTCCAGTTGCAGTCGCAATTTTTTCGCTTTCGTCACATCCATTAAACTGTGGCTTGCCCGCCATCAACAAATATTTTTATGCGGGTATCACCAACTCTCCCTTCAACCAGCACAGGGTGTCAACCGGTTCACCCCCTTATTCAGCCAGGAATGGTCGATAGCCCAAATCGCACTATAACCTGGTGGGGGTGGTGGCGTTTGGGCGACGCAGTCAAGTCAGTAGGTGGCCCATCTGCTACTGACGATCTCCATTTCCCGACTGCTTCTTATCGTTAGGTAAGTTCTTCTTCAGCTGCGGGCAGTCCCTCACCATGTGACCCGGCTGGTTGCAGTGGAAGCAGGTCCCCGAAAATACTCGGGCTGCAAACACGTCCACGCCGTTGATTGATGTGTGTTGGGCTGGCCTCGAAAGCGATTTCCCTCCCGGAAACCCGCTCTCGCAAGTCCACGTCGCGCGTCCAGCGCATCCGCCATGCGAACAATCTCGTTGAAGGTCGTCGGGGCTCGCAGGACGATTTCTTGTTGAATCTCCGGTTTGAGTCCGCCCACGTAGCGATCGATTTTCTCGTCCTCGCTGATCCCTCCGATTTGGTCGCAGATGGCCAGAAACGACGCCGTGTATTCTTGGACAGGGCCCAACTGTCCACATCCGAAGCTTTGTGCGAGCATTTTCGCGCATGGATATGTGCTCGAATCTGCTTTTCAACGCTTCACCCCACGCTTTCCACGTGCGGATCGTGGTCGAGCCAAAGATTGGTTCTGCCGTTGCTGTTGGTGAACTCATCTCCCCAGCTGCCGCCCGTTGATTCCCTGCCGGAGCTCCTCCCTCGTCAAGATGCATGCGC